GGAGGGGCCGAAAGAATTGACAGAAGGAGAGGCGCCGGAAGAGGGTGTTGGCGCTGGAGTGCTTTCCACACTTTTTGCTTTGGAGAGACGACTCGGAAAGTGGAAGCGAAAGTGGCTTCCTAGGCCGGTGGAGGTGGTGCCGTTAGGCAGTCTGGAGGAAGCCTAAAGTTGTAGGCAAAGGTCGAAGTGTTCATTAATCACTTAAAATGGCATTGTTGTAGAGACTTTAATTTCATATACAAATGCGATATTCTTGCCTGGGTATACAGAATAGGCCAAATATTAAATAACCTTGACACCCGAAGTCCTAAACAGTCCTGAATTAAGACAGTGACGTCAGTTGGCAGATGAAAGGGCAACGCTTGGCGTCTTCAAAAGAAAGCAAAAAAGGGCAAACTCTAAGAATAAAGAGAAAATGAATGATAGGGATAGAAGTTATCCGACAGGATTCGAATAAATGAGATATTGTGAAGGATAAAATGATGCAAATAAAGGCAAAAAGGGAGAAGAAAAAAGAAACAAATAGCTGGAGAAGAACAAGTGACACAAAAATGAGAGCAAGGTGAAATTGAGTATACGAGTAAAAAGGAAATGGATTAAAATGAAACCAAGCTGACGAGAAATTATTATAGAGTATCAAGTGGAAGAGTGGATAGATTGTCTGGAAATGACTAAAGTATTGTGGTCTCTATTTTCGTTGCCGTCTTTTTTCGATGTATAGAAGTAGTCTGACCTCGTTTTCGTGTGTTGAAGTTCTCTTTCCCGACGCTCTCTACTATACTAGTTATCAGTAGTACCATTGTTAAACCGTGGACTTTGTATCTTCCTAGACGTTTCGCCGGCATCATAATCGGCGTCGTCAGCTTCTTCCATGTAATCTATGTTCCTCTAATTAACGATAGGTCCTTGATCCAGACATCTCCTTTTTGCTGATCTTGCCGTGTCCTTAATTTCTTCGAGTTCGCTCAAGCAATAGGCAAATCTATCACTCTTCTTACTTCTCTTTCATAATCTTAATCCAGCCATCGGCTTTCAACGGCCTGTATGTTTCCTTGTATTACTTCGCCTGGGTCACCGTTACTGATGATCATCCGAGTCAACTTATACAATTTTAAATCCCAGAATTCCACGTCCGTTAATAGTAGGCTTCCGATGATCATGCCCCTAAGTATTCCGATATTCAGTCTGTAGTTGTGATGAGACTCGAAATTGCATATTATTCTGGCATATGATTTCTTTACAAACACTCTTATCTTGAGTGTCTCATTAGAGCGAAAGACTCCAACATCAAGAAAAGGCAAACACCCCTCCTCCCCCCCTTATATGGTGAACCTGATTCTTTTAGCATTCTCGTCTACAGCTTTCAGGAAATCCTCCCATTTTTATCTTCCATGCGACCAAAGTGCCAAGTAGTCATCCGGGTGCCGTAATAGCATTCTTGGTTGAGGCGGTGACGTCTTAAAATCTCTTCAAATTTGTTCATGTATACATTTGCCAATAGAGATGAGAGCGGCGATCCCATTTGAAGTAAAAATGTGTGTTGATTAATCACGTTAAAGAGTCACTTATGATACTATCTGCCTCCAAGATATCCTCCTCTCGGTCCACAATCTCCAGCAGAGCTGTTAGCATATTTTCTCCAGAGATATTTGTTTACGTGGATTCTACGTCAAAACATACCAATAAATCTGTTTTTTCCAGTGCCATGTTTTTGATTTTTTGATAAAATTCATATGAATCCTTCACC